TTTCTTTTTGCTTTTTAATTCCTTGGAGAGTACATAATTAAGCAACTATAGACTTGCAAGTGAACGCCGCAATATTTACAGTATACAATCGCGGGATTTGCCTTTAATTGCAGTGGCAAATCAAAAATTTCCTCCTTCAGGTCCTTAGCCGAGAGGATCCGATTTTCGGTCAGCAATACGTGAACGGTTCAGTGTTTCGAAATGATGTGGATTATCTCGTATTCAAGACTCATACCGTATCCTTAGAGCATTTAGTAGGTGTTTCTTTCTCTAGAAATCGGTGTGATACCGATTCCATTATAACTTCTTGTGATCGTTTAAATTTCCCAGGCGAAAATGTTGATTGAAGGCGTTCCGGATTGAACTTTTCACTGGTATGGACCGTATTGGGCTCGCCTATGCGCTACCGGCAGCGCTTCCTGATCTCTATGGAAAAGCTACTTTTCCAATAATCTCGTTGAAAAACATACCTATTGGACAGATTGACAGTAAGAGTTATCTTTAAAAAACGGCTATCTTAGTTATAGAATCCATCCGAAGAAAAAGCCTTTTGAAAGATTTCAGATATCAACCTATAGCGATATTGTTTGACAAGTCGATTTTTAGATTCAAAATTTACATTCAGTCAGGATTAGAAGAATCATTTTTGAGACAAATTTTGGGTGCAGAATGCGTTTGGGAGGGGAATTACGGCGAGCGACCATGCCACGTCATGTTTCAATGCGACACCGTCTTCTTTGAACTACTTTCTCAGCAATAGAGTTCCGCCCGGAATATAAACACCACAAACCACAGCGAACCCACTAGAGCACTACCTCGCTTGGAGGACGCAGACAACCGATCATAACCTGGTATAGATGCGCGCTCCTTCCAGCTTCCCTCCCCGACGATTTCAAGGATTTTTGTGCTCACTGCGTGGCTTCGATGGGTTGATTTATAGTTAAGCAGCAAACATCAACACGGTGCGCACGCCGCGCCGCTGCAGCGCGCGTCTCGTGCTAGCGAATCCCTTTAATATTGTCAACAATGAGCGAAATCCTCTAATTTTTGTGCCGCTCTTGCAAG